TCAGACCTCTGAGATTGAGAGAGCTTACTTAGGCTTAAAATATAGATGCAGAGTAAGATTTTCCACATCTAAGGATGATCCAATGTAATCTCTTGTATTAGTCCATTCTCAGGCCGCTGATAAAGACACACCCAAGACTGGGTAATTTATAAAGAAAAAGAGGTTTAATGGACTCACAGTTCCACATGGCTGGAGAGACCTGGCAATCGTGGCAGAAGGTGAAGGAGGAGCAAAGTCACGTCTTACATGGTGACAAGCAGGGTAACTCTGCTTGATGAAACCATCGGATTTCATGAGACTTAATCTCCATCATGAGAGCAGCATGGGAAAACCCTGTCCCTATGATTCAATTATTTCCCACTGGGTCTCTCCCACAACACATGGGAATCATGGGAGATAAAATTCAAGAAGAGATTTGGGTGGGAACACAGCCAAACCATATCATCTCAATACCACAAACATACCATGGAGATTCTGTCCACATCAACATTACAAAATTTGCTTTTCCATCATAAAATAATCATCAACACAATCACTTTTTTTTTTTTTTGAGATGGAGTTTCTCTCTCATTGCCCAGGCTGGAGTGCGGTCTCTGCTCTCTGCAACCTCTGCCTCCTAGTTTCAAGTGGTTCTACTGCCTCAGCCTTCCGAGCTTCTGGGACTATAGTCATGCACTACCATGCCTGGCAAATTCTGTACTTTCAGTAGAGACAGGGTTTCACCATGTTGGCCAGGCCTGTCTTGAACTCCTGACCTGAAGTGATCTACACACCTCAGCCTCCCAAAGTGGTGGATTACAGGCATGAACCACCATGCCTGGCCTACATTCTTTTTTTAGATTAAGTATTTGCTGGTGACTTCTTTCCTCTCAAACAGATTTTCTACTTAAAGGCTGCGGTGAACGATTAGAGTCCACACAAGAAGCTTGTGTACAGCAATTAGCAACTGGTACAATTTTTAAAGAAACATACTGCACAATTTGCAAAAAGATGCCAACACAACTGACAGTACGTGTGATAGCTGAAGATCAAAGAGAGTTTTTATATATGCATTTAAGAACAAAACTGTTTATCCCTACTTTTAGCTAAATCCATCACACATATTTCTTGATCATTTTTGACTGTACTTTCCTCAGATATGAACTTCAATGCACATGAATAATACAACAGTTGTTGGATACAACTGAAATTTTTAATTAGGTACCAGAACGAGAACTCCATGAGACATACTCTTGGTAGGCAACTAAATTTAATCTAAGATTTCTGTTCTAAAACTAATAGCTAAATCCTTGTAACCCAAAGTGTGGCCTGTGGCCTGTATCACCTGAAAGCTTATTAGAAACAGAATTTCAGACCAGCGCCAGCCTAGAACTAAGAAATCAGAATGTGCATTTTAACCAGATTCCCAGGTGACTTGTAATCTTGTTAAAGTTTCAGAGACATTGGCCTAGTTCCCAAACTCTGAGTCACTTTTGATCATGAAACTACACTAATATGATCCATAATCCCTATTTTTAAAACCTCCCTTCTTCAGTCATCCAGTGGCTTTTGAATCAAGGCAAAAATCACACAGTACAGTCCTTTTTATAAACACTTTTCATAAGGACACAAATCTCCCAAGGTCGTTGTGAGGACCAAACCACACAGCATCCACGTAGTATCTGGCAGATCCTGGCCCTGAGTGAGTACCCACCAAACAGTCCTGTGGGCCATCCTTCTGCCCTCTTTCCTTCTTTTCTTTTTTTGGGGGGATGGAGTTTCATTCTTATTGCACAGGCTAGAGTGCAATGGCACAATCTTGGCTCACTGCAACCTCCACCTCCCAGGTTCAAGCCAATTCTCGTGCCTCAACCTCTCAAGTAGCTGGGATTGCAGGCATGTGCCATCACACCTGGCTAATTTTTGTATTATTTGTAGAGACGGGTTTTCTCCATGTTGGTCAGGCTGGTCTCGAACTCCTGACCTCAAGTGGTCTGTGCACCTTGGCCCCCTAAAGTGCTGGGATTACAGGTGTGAGCCACTGTGCCCAGTCCCTTCCACCCTTGTTTTACTAATTCAAAACACTAACACTTTGCGGTCTCCCTCTGTTAAAGTAGAAAGTAGAAAAATTGGCTGAATAACAAAATTACAGCTACAGTAACCACTGGATTGTATTTTCAGGAGTGTTAATTTACCCCCAGTCAAAGAGATTTCTTATTTTATAAATGATTAAGAAAACTCAGCACTCCATGAGAGAGATCACGGAGTTCTCAGAATCCGTGTTTAAGAAAATTCAATACCCCACAGGAGAGAACACAGAGTTATTGGAATATGTGTTCTCTTTCTTTTTAATTTTTTTTTAAACCTTTATATACTTAGTGGGTACAAGTACAGATTTTGTACATTTCATTGTGGTAAGGTCTGGGCTCTTAGTGTACGCATCACCCGAATAGTGATGTGTTCTTCCCTTTCAATCTCCATTGAGTCCTCATTCTGGGCAGAGACTAAACGCCTCTGTTTCTATTCAGTTCTCGTTTCTTTACACTGTACCACAGCTAAAGAGTGACCCAGGGAAGAATTTTGTTGCCTGCTCCAAGTTGCTATAACTTCATCATTGCCAAAATAGCAGGTCACACTTCAGGAGCCAGAATATCCTCTTATAGATCATAAGACTTCTGCTCCTAACACATCGACCGTTATCTGGTAAGTGACCTGGCTGGGGCGGCCTGGGAACACCATGGCGGCGTGACAGCTAAGGCCATGAAGCGGGGTTTGAGAAATTGCTGTATTTTATTAATATACCAAATTCTCACAGCCTGTGCTTCAGATCTTCTGAGGATTTCTCTCACTACGAGGGAACAAAATGATGCCTTGATACTATTCGCAGGACTACGTAGTATCTGCTTCAGGAAGCTGAGTTCTTTTTCTTAAATAATGAGTATTTCAGGGACCCTGGTGCAGTAAAAAGAATGTTGCCTGGTTCTCAGAAATCATAAGCATGTCACCTCAGAGAAAGTAGGAACTGAAACTTCAGGTTGAGAGAGAATGTACCAGCAGACAATGAGCAGAGCATACATGACAACAGAACTCTGATGCAACCTCTACTGCAGCAGGTTCAAGAAGCCAAACCACAGGCTTGGCAGTAGTCAGCCCAGTAAGGCCAGGACTTCCTTAGTAACCGAGAGCTTCTCTATTTCTTTGTCTTCTCATCACACTCAGGACCAACCACTGAAAGTCAAAGATGTTCCTCAAACAAATCACAAAAGGTACTATTTCTGGCTGGGCATGGTGGCTCACGCCTTTAATCTGAGCACTTTGGGAGGCCGAAGTGGGTGGATCACTTGAGATCAGGAGTTCAAGACCAGCCTGGCCAACATGGTGTAACCCTGTCTATACTAAAAATGCAAAAGTTAGCCAGGTATGGTGGTGCACACCTGTAATCCCAGCTACTCAGGAGGCTGAGGCAGGAGAATAGCTTGAATCCAGGAAGCAGAGGTTGCAGTGAGCCGAGATGGTGCCACAGCACTCCAGCCTGGCTGACAGAGTAAAACACAGTGTGAAAGAAAAGAAAAGAAAAGAAAGAAAAGAAAAGAGAAAGAAAAAAAATATGCTGTTTCTAATTAGCCCACCTCCAGATTCCCCAGTGCATCTGAACCTTCTATTTTTCACTAAAAACCTTTCTACTCCCTGACCTGCCTTAATATCTCTGCTGAAAACAAGTGACGGCAGCTGAAGCCTTGCCCGAGCAAACCGGATAAATCACCTCTGTTTGTTCTCTTTTGGGTGGTCTTCACTTTTCAGCCCAAGTTTATTTGCTTGGTTCTGTTGGATCTAGTTTACAAACAAGGTCTTATTGTGTGATTTGCAGCACTAAGAACTACAGAAACTTAAGAAATGCCTTTGAGGCCTTTGAGCAACCCTAAAATCTGCCTAAAATGTACCCTCTGCAAACGTCTGTACTCAGCAAACTCTTCTCTGGTCATTCTCCTCCTTCTTCTTCATAGCTCCAACCATAATAAATAATAACTCATAGACAGAGAGACCAATCACCCCAGTTTGTCCAGAACTGCCCCATATTTAATACTGGAAGCCATCCTATGTCCCAGAAAATCCCCTGGCCCTGAGCAAGCTGGGACCAGTGGTCACCCTATGAGACAGTCCTGGATATGCCATTCTCTACCTCAGCCAATGCAGAGCCATTTACTCTGCCCAGCATGCCCCTCCCTCTTCCCATCTACAGGTCATCAATTAGGTGAACTCCTCTCAATCCATCAAGCCCCCATCTAAATGCTCAGTTCTAGGCTAAGCCTCTTTGACAAAACCCCAACTCTCAATCCCAAAAAGATTCATCACATCCTCCTTCATGCCACACTATAGCCCACATATTTTTTTGTACATATCACATGGTACTGGGATGATTTGCTTATGGCACTTAGATGCTCTTACACAGGGCCAGGTGAGGTGGCTCACGTCTGTAATCCCAGCACTTTGGGGGACCCCAAAGGTGGGTGGATCACCTGAGGTCAGGCATTCTGGACCAGCCTGGCCAACATGGTGAAATGCCACCTCTACTAAAAATACAAAAAATAGCCAGGTGTGGTGGCATGTTCCTGTAGTCCCAGCTATTCAGGAGGCTGAGGCAGGAGAATTGCCTGAACTAGGGAGGCAGAGGTGCAGCGAGCTGAGATCCTGCCACTACACTCCAGCCTGAGTAACAGAGTGAGACTGTCTCAAAAAGAAAAAAAAAATAGATGCTCTTACACAATGAATTCCTTGAGAGCAGGTGCAGTATTGTTGCCTCACTGTCATCACCACACCAAGCCTGTGTTTGTCTGAAAATGAATTAATGGATGGTCAAGTGCCTTAGCTATTGTATATATTAATGAATTAAATTGCTCTTTAAAAGAAATCCAAAAGTGCTAGATTGAGATGAAGAGACAACTTACGTACATATAAAAGTTGGGCACCTAACATGACATATATTCATTAATCCATGTCAATTACCCAGACTATGTATCTACCTCAATCTGGGTGTTATTGTCCTGCCCATCGTCTAACAGCAGGTCTGTGAAGCTTCTGGGCTCAGGAGAGTCTTGGCCGACGCTTGCTCGGTTTGTGTCTACCGCCTTGAGAAAGTCCAAGCTTCTTTTCCACCTGTGGCTGTATGTGTGTGAATTGACTTCCACCTCCTCCTCTGTGTGAGGGAAGGCCTGAGCAACTCCATACTGCCAATCTGTTCGAAAAAAGAAAGAAAATGTGTTATCACTCATTATGTGTACCATATACATGCATGCGCTATTGGCTTGAGAAGGAAAAAGTGTTATGTTAGGCATGAGAATAGGAAACTAACTTGTAACAGTGAAATCTCTTTACTTGTAATATCTTGAGCTGGTACAAACATCTCTGATTGGAATGCAATTGCAGGAAACACCAGGAGTTGTGACAATGGTTAGCGGGCAGATCTTGCAGAGTTTTTAAAAACAGATGTGCAGCCCTGAAGCAACTCATTTTTATTCCTTTCCCTTGCCCCTTCTGCAAGCACATTTCATAAACATTCTCTAGCTATTCTGAGAAAGCAAGCTAGAATCCAAACAAAGGGATGAAATCGAGTGGTTGTTGGATTATTTTCAAAATAAAAGTCAGACCTTATTTACTTGTAAGCTTGTATTTATTTCACTTGAGTTGTGCTGGACAGCAAGGGGACACCAACATATTTGAATCGGTTAAATAATACAAGCAATTGTCTTCGTGAAAATGGACAAAACTACCTGGTAGCTTACAAGCCAGTCTTGGTTCACTGCCTGACCCATTTAATAAGTAAGACCCTCAGGAGTCATCACTGCACTCTTATTCATTTGCACTGTTCTCACCTTGAAATCTTGTCAGGGTCTAAAGGATGACAGTGATGGGCACTTATAGAAATGGATGGGAAGGCAAGGAGATGAAATCACAAAGGCATTTTAAAGCCATCTGCTGGGACTGGCCTTGCTGACCCAGCTTATCCTGCTACTCCAGGAGTAAAAAATGAGATTTAATCATCACTCCTCGTCTTTCATTTCGGTAGGTTAGCAGTGGAAGGTGTGCCACAAGTATTGGAAATTCAGTTTCTGAACAAGAACAGCCTTCTTGCAGCCAACTATTACCAAAAGATATGAATGGGCAGGTTTTAGAACTGGCAAGATACGGGTTCAAAAAGGGAGAAGAGAGCAGTGATTTAATTATAGCCATTATGTTTCCCTCGGTACAAGAACATTCTAAGAAACCAAAATGTATTTAATGCAGCTTACAATACAATGAATCAGCTTCTTAGAACTCCGATAACGAACTTAAAGTCACCACTACCGATCACAGGCATAATTACCTAAACCACCTCCTTTTTAACCCAGAAAAGTGCTAGTAATTCTTCTAGACAGAGAGGATATTATTTGGTTTCACAGTAAACTTAAAAGATCTCTAATTATCTGATAGTTTGGTGCATAGAACCCAGAGGAAAACACTACCATGATGTCTGCCATCCAGACCTTTCCTTGAGCTCACAGAATGTTAGAGCTCAAAAGGACCACAGAGACCAAAGTAGCTAAAACTTCACAGGGATAAACCCAAGAGCAAGAGAAATGTACCATTTTGTTCATTTTATTGAACTGCTGTAGGAAGAAAAAAAAAAAACCTCACGTACATAAAGGGCTGAGTGTGGAACCCTCCCGGCCTCCACACAGTAAGTGTTTAATAAGCACATCTAAGCAGTGTTGCCATCATCACTGTAGAAAATAGCTCTTTCTGTAACAGCATTTTCCCTACTGGCTATCAGGTAGTACTCAAAATGTTTATTGACTGACTGAATGAGTGGAGGAATGAATTTTTGACAGTCTATTTGGAACAAACATCATCGGACCAGGCAAAATTAAGTAATGGAAAAACTAATGTGCAAGGAAGAATCCAGGAGACTGGAGCTGGAATTCTTTCCAGTAGGTTTGATGGTTGTATGATCCTGCATAATTTTAAAAAGTCTCTGTGCTTTTGTTATCCTATATTTTAAACAGGAATGAAAGCATCCTGCCTTCAAAAGCAGCCAGCTTTTCCTGAGACTGTCAGGCTCCAAGACCTATGGTTTTAGGGAAAGCTACATAAAGCAATTTTACTTGCTTTATTTATATATCCTGCTTCATTACCAAAAATACAGGAGGCAGCTTATAACCAGGTAAGTAACAAAACTTCATGACAACCAGATAAGTTCTCCTACCACAGCACCTAGGTCAATGTCAGATACCTGCATTTTCCTTGTACTTGCTGTAGCAGCTCTTAGCAAGTTACACCCCTGACATGGCTATGCAAAAACAAAGAGTCATGTAGGAATCACTGAAACCCATGCAGGATCCTTGTTAGAATGTCAGCCTAGAAAAGAAATGGTAGCAAACCTAATGGAGAGAATAGATTAAATGATTCTAGATTGGAAAAAAAATGGTATTAGAAAAACATACGCACAAATGATGCCAACCAGAGGTATGTCAGTCTTCCAAAATATAAATCAGAAAAAAAAAACACCACACACACACACACACACACACACACACACACCTACAACTTCAAAGGATTTGTCTTTATTAAAATCTTCAAAACAGAATTTCAAAGCAGCTTTTGGTTTCTTTTAAATAAGTGTTACTTTTTCCCTCCTTGATATTAATTTTTACCATTTTTTAGATATTTATAACATAGGACAAAACAGAACTTTCTAGAATACCCATTAGCACCTTCCTTGCCCTTTTAAATTAGCTTCTGGAATCCTGGCCCAGAACAGACAGTAAACGGAACGCCTAACCCTGGAGGAGGCTTTTGCATGGGATTCTACTTCTCCACTTCCTCAGATTCTCTTTCCTATTTTTCTTCCTGTCTTTTTTCTCTAGAGAGCATAGAAAAATGAGTTCCAAAACTTAAACGATAAAGTCTCTATTTTGCATTTAAGTTGAAATTTGAGAAGTCTGATGAAAGTGTCAAACTCTTGTTTTTGTATTGAACATTCAAACTCATCCTTTAGCAGGATTATTAGGGAAGAGTGAATTTGGCAGACAGGTAAGCATCTGTATGAGACACGTGTATAGCCTTACTCTAGCACTTTCAAGGTTTGGTCTCTAGACAGCTGAGGTTTGATTATTTTTCCCCTATTGTTTACCAGCATTTTATGATTTTTGTGTCTCTCTCCTGCTGTCACCATTAACAGCTATTACAGTCAGATGTTGACAAACCTTCATCCCTGTGCCTACTAGAATTTGCTACCTCAAACTTGGAACACAGATCATTTGCTTGCTCTAATTGTGTTTGCAAAGAGTAAACAGGATCTCAGGAAAAACCTGAGGGGTTTTCTAATGAGAATATTTGTGAGCTTTAGGGCCTGGCATCCATGAATATCCTTTTGGTTGGCATTTTAAACCTAATTCTTTGTCTCTGGTTACGTCATGAATAAACAAGCTACCTGGTAGTGCAGAGAGGAAATCCTATTATATGTTTATAATTTGGTAATACATGGCTCATCAAGGCTGAAAAGCATGAAACTGACTTAGATTTTGATCCTACTTCTAAATGATATTTAGAGAAGACAAAACAAGTCAAAAGAGACGTTTTACAGACTAAAGACAAGATAATCAGAAAAAAATCACAGCTTCATTATCTATATTGTAAATTACTCCCGTGCATTTCACAGATTTTCAAACTCATACAAATATTTTAAATTACTCTTTAAATCAGCACCAAAACAAATTATTCAGAAGCAAGAAGAAGGAATGTATGTGACACAATTTTTCCCTTTCCAGCTGTAGTAAAAACAAAACAACAGGAGGGATCTCTGAATACCCTGGGTAAACAGATTGTTTGCTTTCTGTCTGCTGTATGTTAATTAAACCACTGATGGAAAAACCTTAAAGATCATTTTCCCCAACATATTTGGCTATAGATAGCTCATGGAAACATGAATACATCTCTTGATTCCCATTGGAATATAAGAAGAGAAAGCTTTGAAGACACACTTCTGTAAACACAATATATAAATTGATCTTAACACATTCTTGAGATATTTTATTATAACAGCAAACTATAATTGAAGAAAGTCCTTCATTGTTTTTCCAATAAGCATTATTGTTGAACCCCACGATGTTCAGTTAATCTGAGAGTAGAATAGGAAATTCATGTATATCCTCATATGTATCCTCCTTGCAATTCTCTTCTGTGTCATCATATACGATAACACATAAAAGCAAAAGGGAAGAAAGCTGGGCTTGGAAGGATAGGTTTATGTATTATTTTAATAATTTTATTAAAATACCTTGCATTTAACTAATAGTCATTTGCTGAAAACATTTGAACGTTTTTGAGTCCTACATACAAAGCACATACATAATACATGTGGAACCACCAGAAAGTAACTGCATAAATTGACATGCATCCCATGTAATTAGGATCCATTCTTACTGTACCTTCTGACAAACAATTTGACCTGCACTTTTCAAGTGAACCAAATCACTACTGTAAATCCTCTGAAACATTCAGATTGTTCACTGAAAGCAGATTGACTGGCTAGATGCAACTGAGACTAGATGAAAATATTTGGCTAAGACAGACTGCCATATGGCTTTGCATGTCAATTCACTGCAGAACCAAAGAGAAAATTCTATAGAAAACAGTTATATCCTTAAGTATGTCTATAAACTGGACTACCCCGGCTTCAAGATTTTAACTGGCATCATTAAAGACTAACATAGCTACAGAAGATAAAGTTTACAGAATGTTCGGTCCAGAGATACCAAGGGGCTGAATGGGACCTAGACACTCTATTTCATTAAAGCTCTGAGGAAGACTTTTGTGTCACTAGATAAAGTCTGCCTCATACTCTATTCCCACCATAGGTACTGATATGATTTGGTCATGTCCCCAACCAAATCTTAACTTGAATTCCCATGTGTTGTGGGAGGGACCCAGTGGGAGATAACTGAATCATGGGGGCAGGTCTTTGCCATGCTGTTCTAGTGATAGTGAATAAGTCTCATGAGATCTGATGGTTTTATAAGGGGAAGTTTCTCTGCACAACCTCTTTCTCTTTGCCTGCTTCCATCTATGTAAGATGTGAATTGCTCCTCCTCACCTTCCACCATGATTGTGAGGCCTCCCTGGCCACATGGAACAGTGAGTCCATTAAAACCCCTTTTCCTGTATAAATTACCCAGTTTCAGTTATGTCTTTATTAGC